CTATTTCCCGCTATTTTCTGAACCGTATCACTTGAAGACGTTGGTTATGTCTCACAAATCTGGGAAATATGATGCAAAATAGCACATCCCAACTTTATCTGATCTGAAACTTGCTACACATGGCTTCACAATTTGTCAATAGTGTCTGTTCCATAAAAGATGAGTGATTAGCACTCGAATTCTGCTATTCAGCGTTTTGATATCACTATGATGTGAAATACAACATCATTAATAACTACCCCAACTTACCACTTTTGAGAATAGTAATCCTTTCGGCCATGCTTGATTTTCGAATTTCTACATAAAAGACTCATTTGCATCTGTTAACTGCTATTTACAATGGGAAATTTATAGCCCGTTTAGTTCGTTGATTTGTGTTTTTAATTCGAGTTTAGATGTATCTTTATCTGAGAGCTTTTTACTATAATAAAAAAGTTAGATGTGACTGTTTCTGAGAGATTTTTACTGTAACAAAGTTCGAATTCTAAACTCGAATCGATAAAATGAACGAGGCATTAATTATTAATTTAAATAAATAGCATCTGTGCACATAAAGATATAAAACCATGTATAATTGAACATAAAGGGCACCAGGATACTCTACAATCCGATGCATGGCAAATAATAATAATAATAATAATAATAATAATAATAATAATAATAATAATAAAAATGCAGAATCAAGGCCTTCACTGTGATTTGGCCACATAAAGTAATCTTGTTATCTCTTAAAATGAAAAATCCCCTCGTCCACAACAAATTTCAATGTTAAAAAAAATCCATCTTAATTCGAATTAGCAAAAATTAGGAAGTTACCTGAGAGATTTGGTCTTCCAAAGGCAAAGAAATCTACTGCCCATGATATTTAAATAAAATTTTTGAGAAATTCCACTCTTTGGAAGGAATGTGCTGCCGTCTTGCTTGGGTCGCAATGTCTCTGCAAAAGTTAGCACTGAAATTTGTTTGTCAACAAATGAGCATGAATAAGGTAGTTGATGCAGGATTTTTCTGGGCAAGAATGTGGGTACGGAGGAGAAAAATTTAAGGTCTCTGTTCATTTCATCAATTCAAATTTTTAATTTCAATTTTGACACAGTTAAAAGTTCTCACAAAAAATCATACATAACTTTTTCTGTTACGGTGAAAATCTCTCATATAAAATTATATATAAACTCAAATTAAAAACTCGAATCCGTAAACTGAACGATACCTAAATATTTTTAAAACTACTCCCCACTCCCTCCAAGATTAAAAGGACGGCAATACCTAAATAGTTAGCCAAAGTTTAAAGAAAATTAAAATTTATATTTCAACAAAATAGCTACATTTCTTATTAATATCAGAAAATTATATCAATGGCATTCAAAATTTTGACTATAACTACATCTCTAGTGACATTTATAAATGCCAATGAAATTATTTTTTTAGTAACAGTTATAAAATGCCACTAAACTATACTTTCTGTGATATTTTTTAAATGTCATTAAAACTACATTTTGAGGGGCAGTTATAAATGTCACTAAAATATATCATTTTTGACATTTTTAGTAAATGTCACTAAACTATACCAACAGTGACAATTTTGTGTTAAAATGTCACTAAATTATACCAACAGTGACAATTTTGTGTTAAAATGTTACTAAGTTAATTGTCATTAAAACTCATTTTTCTTGTAGCGTCCAAGCTTTGGCTTTCTATAGAGAAAAACGGTTCTCTATGGTGATTCTTAAGCCATTCTATCAAGGATCCAATAGAGTAAGGGCACGTTTACTAAACTGAAAAAAAAAATGTAATGAGAAACATATAGGATTGAAAAGGAAAGTAAAGTATTAGGATTAAGAGTAATTTATTTTTTTTTAAGTGTTTACTTGATTATTAGATGTTGTAATGAGAAACAATCTCATTCTCTTTCTTATGTTTAACTAGGAATAGCAATGTTATGAATATAATCACTAAAATGTCATTTTACACAATTTCATAATCATTGACTATATAATAATTCATTAAAGATAAATAAGTGAATTTAGCATTCATTCCCTTTGATAAGGAATCAATACTAAAATCAATACTAAAAGGGTACAAGGATTGACGTTTCTTTTTCTCATTTTCTATATTGTGTGAGGCCCACCAAATCTCTATTACTAATTTTGTAAGTAAATACATTATTAGATAGGAAAGAAAATCACTCATCACTTTCACTTCCCTTTTCATGCAAAGTAAACATACCTTAAAGGTTTTGGGGCCATTTTTGGAGGGATTAATAGAATCGATTTCTCTTGGGGATTTGGATTTTTCTGATCAGTTTGATAAAGAAAAGAGTGTTGAGTCTATAGTATAGTGACCAAGTTGGCTCTACGTGTGAAGACTAAGGCCTCGTTCACTTCGCAGATTCGACTTTTCAATTCGAGCTGAGATGTGACATTTTCTAAAAACTTTTTACTGTAGTAGAAAAAGTTAGATATGACATTTTCTGAGACCTTTTTACTGTAGAAACTTAGAATTGAAAACTCGAATCAGTGAAATGAACGAAGCTTAAGTATGGTAAAATAAAACTAAAATCTGACGAGACGCCTTATATAGTGTTATTTGAAGGTTCCTTTGATTGGAAAGTCTGACTATGATTTTAAGACTACGGAGTGTGACAATGTGTCCATAAATGACAATGTATTTATAACCACTAAATTATAGCTTCTATGGAAATTTATATTTGTTTAGATAAAATGGCTTCAATTGATCAGAGCGGTAGTAGTTTTTACATTAGAAATGCATTCGTCCACAACGACGGTCATTTTTCAGTCATCAAACAGCCCATTTCCAAAAGTTAAAACACATTTTGTTTTCTTTCTCAATCTATTCTTTTGAACATACTAGTTATATCATCCGCGTTGCGCGGGCGACTCATTTAAAACAACGTTTGTCAAATTATTTTTGAAAAAAAAAAGAAAAAAAGGACGTAAAAAAAATAAAAACGGAAGTAAAAGACAAAGAGAGAAGATTTTAAGTTATTTTACTATGTCTAAATCAATTCCATTTGATTTTGTTTCATTTGTTTTTACTTAATTTGATGTGCTTTTATTTTATTTTAGTGTTTTTTTATTAAATTTTATTTTTTATTAAATCATTTATAGCATTTTTATTTAAACAGTACTAAATATTTAGTACGAAATTGTGTTAAAATTGATAAAATTAGACTACAAATAAACCTAAAATTAATAAGTAAATATGTAAAAATAATAATAATTAGTAAATAAAATTGATATTTTTAACCGTCAGGTCAAAAATATAAACAGATTAGATAGTCTCATTTTTCTATTCTCTTTCTCTCTCGTTTCCAGGCGGGCCCACCACTTCCCATTCCCTCCCTCTCTTTCTCTCCTTCCCACGCAGCTAGCTCTCTCTCGACGAAAAAGCAGCGCCAAAAGAAAAGACCAACGAAACGTTTCGTTGGCACCCAAAAAACCATTCAACTTCGGTGATTTGGTGTGTATATAGATATAAACGACAATGAATTTTCATAACTTGCACGACAATTTTTTTTTTTTTGGGTGTTCTGAGTATACTTCCATTTCAAAGGATCAAACGGCATCTTTTTCTATCTAATTAACTTGAAACTTGAGCCGTCTATTCAGGAAAAAAATAAATTAAAAAATTGGCCATTAACGAACGACATGTCGTTCGTTTTTGCCTGAATTAATGCTATTCAGATTTTACACGTCTTTTGTTAGCCACCACCAGTAAAAATCCTTGCGTTGGGTTGTCGTTTACTGGGAATTCAAATCCATTTCCGACCGACATAAACACGATCTCTCCCTTTCATTCAACTTAGGTGTCAACTTTTCTTTCTTTTCTTTTTCTTTGTTTCCTTTGTTTCCTTTTATTTACCAATTCACAATTAGCTCTAGAACGATTCAATCAAAAAGCTCTCTCTAGAACAATGAGAATTCTAAGGAGTATCGTCTTAATTGGTAATGTATCCGTCCGGTTGAGGTTAAAAAATTATTTATTTTAATCGTTAATTTAACGGTGCAATTTATAAATAGAAACATCTAGGTCTCATTTACTTTATAAATTTAAATTTTTAAATTGAGATGTGACATTTTTTAAAAATTTTTAACTGTAATAAAAACAATTAAATAAATTAAATATTATATTTTCTAAAAATTTTAATTATAAAAATTTAAAAATAAAAACTCAAATCGATAAAATAAATAAAACCTGAATAATTAAATTATTAAAAAACTAATTTAATGATTAAAACAACAGTTATGAGATAAAATAGCAGTCAAAATTATATGAAAACAAAAAGGAATGATATTATGAGAACTTGTCGTTGGGGGTGTTCATAAACCCGAACAACTCGCAAACTCATCCCGCACCGCCCCAACCCAATTCGAAAAAAGTAACCCGCAGCATTATTTTTTAATTTTCGGCCCATTATACCTCTGGCCTGAGTGTTTGGGGCGGGTTATGGGTTGGACCCATAACAACCCGCAACTCCCAACCCAACCCGCACAACACATGTCTGAACTAACTATCCAAATTATTACTTAAGCTATTTTCATTTCTCTTGTAGATAACTCAACTTCATGTCCTACTACAATCATTGGGGAGCCTATGGGTGTGGATTGATAAGGATTGTTGATGTTGCAATGCTTGCTTTGGATGGATTTGAATTAAGCATCTATGTTTGCTTTATGTTAAGATTAATTTATGAGTGTAGACTAATTTATGTTTGCTTTATATTTGATATTAGATGGACTGCATTACTACATGTTTAATGTTAGATGGACTCATAAGGATAGTTACTATTTCAATTTGATTATGAATTTTGAATGTTAGATTGAACTTTAAGTCTTTAATTTTTTGAATGTTGAAACCGACCACTCAACCTACCCCGCACCGCCCCAATCCAACCCGAACATCGTTAGGCTATGAAAAAATTCTAACATTATTGGAACTAAATATGTGTAACCCACACTCTATAAAACGAGAAAAAAAATCCTACCACACACCAACCCAATCCATGAACAGCCTACTTGTCGTTTGGAAATTCATAAAACTCGGGAAGTACTTACTTGACCATCTTCTCTTCAGACACCTATTCCATTTCTTGTTCCCACCCCAACCACGCGTCACTTTTCAACCATCTTCTCTCCACCGTTTAGTACTCAACCATATATTAGCCATGGTTAAAATCCACCCCCACCACTCCACCAACTCCCCAATCCCCCCACCGCCGCCGCCGCCGCAGCACCGACAACCAATCCTAACACTGAAACAGCTCTGCTGCTTCATCTTCCAGCTCTCCTTCTGCCTCTGCGTCCTCCTCTGCTTCGTCCTCATTGTCCTCGTCGTCGTGTTCGCCGCCATGTTCGGCATCCGCAGCGAGGTCGACGTCCGCGTCACCGACGCCTCGCTCGCGAAATTCGACGCCGCCGACGAAAACGACACCACCTCTCTTCTTCTCCTCTCCTACGACCTCTCGTTCAACCTCACCCTCCGGAATCCCAACCGGAGGATCGGCGTCTACTACGACAACATCACCGCCTTCGCCTTCTACGGCGACGAGCTCTTGGACACGACGAACTTGGCGCCGTTTTACCAGGGCCACAAAACGACAAACACCTTGAGCGCGGTTTTCGAAGGGACCAAAACGGTGTCGGTTAATGATGGTTTTGAGGTTTTTTCTCTGTTTTCTGAGGAGGAGAGAAGTGGGATTTTCAGTATTGTGGCGGCGATTGCCGTTACGGTGAGGACCAAGTATGGGAAGATCAAGTACAGGCATAGCCCGACCGATATTGACTGTTATTTGAGGGTTCCTTTGAGAGGAAAATCCAGTTATGCTTTTCAGACTACCCAGTGTGGGGTTGTGCATATAATTTCGTATCCAAATAACTAGATGGGATTCTGTGTTTTTAACTTGTGTTTTTGGATGAAGTAGATTGTATATAATATATATGTATACATATAGTGTTATATACAACAGCATTGCCGTTTACGTTTTTTTCCCCTATTTCATTTTGTTATTTCTGATAAGTATTCTCCACTTATGCAGCTACTATTCTGGTCTGGGTCAGACTCAAACTCAGACCCATGTGAATGTCGTTTCTTTGATATTGTTGTTTTTAGTTTTTTTCCCCCCTTTTTTTTGGTTAGAATGTTGTCGTTTGTTAGTTACTGTTTTCACATATTGCAACTCTTGTCGTTTTCTTGGAGACGTCATCGTTGCTGTGGTTTTCAAAACGATTGCATTTTTTAGTACGTCGTCGTTTTAAAAATATTGTCGTTTCTTAGAGGATTGTCATTTTTGGGAATGATGTTGTTAGTTTTAGATGCCATGCGTTGTGTCGTTTCTCTGATATTGTCGTTTTTATGTTTTCTCTTTGTTGGTAAGAATATTGTCGTTTTTAGTTACTATTTTGAATTTTCACATATTGCAACTTTATCGTTCTCTTAGAATGATGTTATAGTTACTGTGGTTTTCAAAACATACGATTGTCGTTTTTAGTGGGTTGCCGTTTGAAAATTATTGTCGTTTCTTAGAGGATTGTCGGTTTTACGAATGATGTTGTAAGTTATAGATGCTGTGCGTTCCGACATTACTACGTCTACCTTATCTTAATCTGTTGCCATTTTATTTTATTATTTTCTCAAGTTATTGCCGAGTTTTAATATTATTATCATATTCCAACAACTAGCTAGAGAAGCTCGAATTTAACTTGTGCTTTTAGATGGAGTAGGTTGCATATATCGGGACTTGAAGTATAGTACTAGTATAATGGCGTTCCCAATTTCGTTTTGACTTTAATCGTTTTCTTTAAATGATATAGACCGTTTAGTTTGCTGTTTTGAATTTTTAATTTGAGTTGATATGTGATTTTATATGAGAGTTTTTTACTGTAATAAAAAAATTAGATGTAATTATTTCTCAGATATTTTTACTGCAGTAAAACTCGAATTATAAACTCAATTCGGTAAAATGTAGATCCTGCAATTTTAAAACTATTGTCGTTACTGGTACTTTTCGTTTTAAAAAATCATTGTCGTTTCTCGAAGTACTGTCTTTCAACAAACGACGTTGTTAAAATTAGGTTGCTGTCGGTTTTGACATTTGATTTACTATCTGATCTTAATATGGTGTTGTTTTTCTTTTTAAATAATACATGTTATCGTTTTAAATTAATATGTTTCTTTTCCTCAAGATACAGCCGCTTCGTAATATTGTCGTTTGTAAACTAATATTTTCCTTTTCCTCAAGATATTGCCGCTTCGTAATAATATCTTACTATGAAGTTTACAAAATTTTTGTCGTTTGTCAAAATGTTATCATCGCAACATGCTCGTCTTCTCTCAAATAGGCTGTCGTTTTCTTTAGTGCCGCTGCTTAACATTTTAGCGTTTTTTTACAATTGACGTCGCTTTTCCTTACATTCGGTTTCAGGATGATGTTTGTTTTTGAAATATTGTCGTTTCCTGAGATATTGAGCGCGTGTTTACCGAACCGTAAAGAAATGTAATGGAAAAGATAATAAAATTAGAAATGAAAGTAAAGTGGAAAACACCGTAAAGAAATGCAATGGAAAAGATAATAAAATTAGAAATGAAAGTAAAGTAATAAAATTAAAGATCATTCATTTCTTTTCATGTGTTTACTTGACTATTAGATAGTGTAATAGGAAACAAATTCATTCCATTTCTTATGTTTACTAAGAAATAACAATGTTATGAATGTAATCACAAAATGTCTTTTTACACAATTAACTAATCATTGATTTTATAATAATTCATTAAGGGTAGATAAGTAAATTTAGCATCATATCCTTTGATAAGAAATCAATATTAAGGGTAGTGTAAAGATTGATATTCCCTTTTCTCATTTTTTATATTATGTGGGGTTCACTAAATCTCCATTATTAATTTTATAAGTAAATACATTATTAAATAGAAAAGGAAATCACTCTTTAATTTCTCTCTCCCTTTAATGCAAAGTAAACATGTCCTGAGTCTTTTCTAAGAATTTTGAGAGAATAATACAGAACTAAAGAGGTGAGTTAAAAAGGGCATATTTCATTATTTTCTCCACCAAATATTTCAGATTTTTGTCTCTGGATAGTTTAAATATACCGTTTTTGTTTAAAAAAAACAAACAAACAAAGAAAAGAGAAGATTTTGATTTAATTCATACACAAAAATGATACGAGTAAATAATTCGTCTTGATAAGTGGTCCAAATACAAGTCCTTTTCTACTTAAAAAAAAATACCACTCTTTCCTCGTTTCCATTCATAACAACAAATAATTGGTCCATAAATAATATTAGAGACCTCAATTTTTATTAATACGATTAATATATTTTTTTGATAGAATCAATTTAATTAAAATTAAAAATTCGTATTTACAATAAGGCCTCGTTCATTTAACCGATTCGAGTTTTCAGTTTTAAATTTTTATAGTAAAAAGCACTTAGAAAATATCACAGCTAATTTTTTTTGCTACAGTAAAAAAGTCTAAAAAAATGTCACATCTCAACTCAAATTAAAAACTCGAATCCGTAAAGTTAACTAGGCCTAAGTTGGTTAATTGATATATATTCCTTCTGTCTGTTTTGTTTTAATTTCTAACTGTAATTGGTTAGTAGCGGTGACATTACAGACATAACATAAATTCCCGCCTCTTTATTGATTAATCTGAATTCAAAACATGAAAATCTCATCAAGAGAGAAACGGTTGAGATTACACCTCAGCAGGTGACCGATCGCTTCTATATAAACGAGGAAGCGTAGAAGCTTTAATATATATTTTTTTCCCTCTATTTCAATCTCTTCAAAAAACAGCTCTCGTTCTTCATTCTTCTCTTGTTGATCATCAATGGCGGTTGATCTTAGAATAGGCTTGGTAGCTCTGGTCTTGATGACGCCTCTGCTACTCTCAGGCCGATTTTTGAGCAACGAATCTACTAAGCCGACGAAGGACGATCTGCGATTTGAAGATGGAGATCGCATTCCTCTCTTTGCCAACAAGGTTTATTTTCGCTCCGATCCTAGGTAATCTTTCAAGTCTTCAATATTTTCTGTGCAAATTACTGGATACTAACTTTGATCAATCGTTTTGTGAGCTTCTTTCTTGAATTTGATCGATCGCATTTTGAGCTTTGTTTTCTGAATTTGGTCAATCGCTTTGTGAGCTTTCTTCATTTCATCGTTCTTGTTTATATTGATCTGCGTGAGTTGTTTCGTCTTGATCGTTGTTTGCTTGCTCGGAAAATTGAGGAAAATGTGTGGAACAGAATCTTTAGAAATCCTGAGTAAATGAGAAGGAAATTTTGATCCTTCTCGTTCAAAGTAGATTTATCAGGTTTAATCTCGGAATCAAACGCGCTCACACTTTCAGCTGGAGAGTAGAGTCCTCAGAATTTCCTTACTCTCTCTCTCTCTCTCTCTCAGACTTTTCGAAATCAGATGTAAAACGTTTCTCATCTTACTAAAATTAGATTTAGAAAATTCGGACAAGTTTAGTTCAGTTGTAATTCCAAGTTGCTAACATGGAATTTCATTCAAGATTCTTATCACAAAAATAGTTTTTACACAAGCTTTTTCCAATGTATTTCTGTTTTACTAATAAGTTACATATATACCCCCCTTTCAGTGACAAGGGATACCCTTACTTTGACTTGCCATTTTGTCCTCCTGGAGGTATGAATAGATGAATTACTCTTTTGGTGGTGGTCAAAAGAATTTCTTCCTTTTATTTTGTTGTAATTTCATAATACTTCAAACAACTCATTTTCAAATACTTACCATCACTATTATCTCTTTCTTGTAATTTTATCAATAAAATTAGTATATTTATTAGTGCAATATGTTCTGGCTTCACTGTTTTCAAGAGTTGATTTTGTATATGGCTCAGTTTTACAGTCAACAGGAAGCATAACAAAATTGAGATTGCAGCATTAATATTATTTATTATGCATTTTAAGGTGGATATTAACACATTTAAACCTTCTCACTTCCATTATCAACTACAGAACCACTAAACTAGAAAGAATCTTTAACAGAGATCCTATCGGGGGGTTGCTTCACCAACACTCAGTATCAGCTTAGATTTAAGATGGAAAACTTTGATAAGCTCCTTTGCGAGAAGACTCTGACAAGCGCCAAAGTTGCAAAGTTTAGAGATGCTAAAAAGGAGAATTTGAATATGAAATGGCTTTTAGTGGTCGGCTCTTGCAGGGCATGATGGGAAGAGTTGACGACACAGACGAATCAAGGCCTAGGTATTATCTAGTCACACACCTCCGCTTTTATCCGTTGTACACCAGGAACCAAGTGAAAAGAATAATTGTTACTGAAGATTTCGATTCTGCTGTGGACATAACTGAAGATGTTGAAATCAAAGTCAAGTTCACTTATTCTGTCCTCTGGGTGGAAGTGAGGATGAGGCATGATACCTATGAATTTTTGCCTGCACAAAGCTGGAATTCGATATTGTCATTGATGTTTTGGCCTAGTGCTGTTTTCTTCTTGTTTGGATTACTTCTTCTACTGCTACTAGCACCATATTTTACGGCTAATTTTACCAGGTATCAAGTTCTCATTTAATTTTTTATGAAGCTCCAAGCATGCACGGCTGTGATATTTTATTCTATTTGCTTTTATTGCAGGTATTGTCATCAAAGCATAGAATCAGCTAGAGCAGTTAATCACTCGCGGCCTATTCATGACAACAACTGCAACTGTCCTCCATATTTTTCCTTACTTGGTGCCTTCCTTGGACCTGGAATTCAGCTATTGATCACGTAATGCTTTCTTCAAATATAACTGGCTATTAATTGTTTAGGCACTTTTGTGGCAGAAATTATAACCACACAAACATATATATCAGCTTCATGCATCATGATGATTTATCAGGACATCTCAAAAGAAATGATTCTTTGTGTGTTTATTGCCACTTAAAACTCAAACATACAAAAGACTGTAAGAGACAATATTGTTGAATGATTTTTTAGCTATATCATTAATGATTGGTTACATAACATTGTAGCTCCTATCTCTCAAACTTTATTGCATTATGATTATCAAATGAATGTGCCACTTAAAATAAGCAATTGAATTGCAGGGCTTTCATTCTCTTTATTTTGGCATATAACCAGCGAATGCTGTCCTTGGATACTATACTTCTGGTATTTTGTCTCTCTGTGGTTTCTGGCTGTAGCATTTCACGTCAAGTTCACTAGACTTGGTTGGGTAATAGTTACACAATATTTATGATGTTGTCTCTTTTCATTTTGTTATTTTCTCTTGTCCATGTTCTTACTGGCTTCTAACAATACTACTTTGCAGAAAGAATGCATTTTCCTAGCTGGAAACCTGTACTTCATTCTGGTATGCTTGACGGTTTTTTCTGTAAACATAGTAGCGCAGATAAATTTTGGAGAATCAGAGATAGCTGAATTTGGAGAGTCGTTCAATGTTCTGATGGCGTGTGGAATTTTCACTGGAGCTCTCTCAACTCTAGGTGGCATGATCGCATATTGTTCGAAAGAAAAAACATCAGAAGTGCCTTGTCCCACAAGAACAACAACAACACAGAGAGATTCATCCGCAACCTTGGTACAGGAACACACTAGCTCAGATGTTCCTTGGAAGTCTTCCACTGTTCATTTATATCTTACCATCGATGGACAACATTTATGTGAGCTTAATGAATTTAACGATTTGCAATGCATTCCGTAGGCTTTGCATGCTTAATTGATCCGTCCAAGAAGGATTACCGGTGGTGATGGAGGTAATATTCTTACCCCTATTTCCTCAACACAATTTCTCCAAATAATGAAGTTTGACAAATTTTTTACTTGAACAATTTTCTGTACATAATTAAATTTGAAATCCAATTGGAAAATGGTTCATTGATCCTGTATGATTATATACTTGAAAAAACTTGTCAACTTATGCACATCTGTGCTACGTGGGGGATCAACTGCAATTTGCATGTTTTTCTACAGCATTTACTTCGCCGACAAACTAGATATTGAAGGTCCTCTTCTGGTGGTCTACTTGGATACAATGTTGGCATATTCTACGCTCTCTTCCTTATACTTGGAACCATATCCTTCTATGCTTCATTGATCAATCACCATGATTTGGAAAAGAATGAGTAGATCATTCAATTGTGGATCTTGATCGAGGTAGTACCGGTATTATCTACTGGTTCTTTTATAGGCATACAAACTTTAAGAGCAGTACCACACATAGGAATACTATTACTTTCCTGTTTTCTAGTTTACTTTTTCTATTTTTGAATAAAAGGACCGAATCCCTTAGTTTGGGGTAAGGTTCCTAGGAAATAGGGTAGTTTCTGGATTCTCTTTAGTTAGTTTCCGGATTTAGATAGTTTATGGTTTTGTTAGATGTTTGTGAGCTGTCAAGGGTACAATGTATCCTATAAATAAGATGTATGCTACCATGATTGAAATAAGAGAAAAAAAAAGTTTTTTTCCTCAAAACCTACATGGTATCAGAGCCTTAGGGTTTTAATCCAAAGGGAAAAATGGCAAAGACAGCCATGACTAGTGTAAACAGAGTCCAGACCTCATATGAGGTTACCTCTGAAAACAACCCAGACAATTCTCTCTATACCGGTGTTGATAATATAACAACCAGTTCCTCCGTAAAAATCTTCGTTCAAAAGTTGAATGGAAAAAACTACCTTGAGTGGTCACAGTTTGTCAAACTTGTGCTTGATGGCAGAGGAAAACTCGGATATATTACTGGGGAAGAGAAGCAGCCCAGAGAAAAGGATTTAGGCTTCAAAAAATGGAGGTCAGAAAATTCCTGGGTGACAGCATGGCTTCTAAATTGCATGGAGGCAGGAATCGCAAAACCAAACATGTTTCTACCAACCGCCAAAGCTGTGTGGGATTCTGTTCGGCAAACATACTCAGATTTGGAAAATTCTTCACAGATCTTTGAATTAAAATCAAAGCTCTGGCAATCCAAGCAAGGAGACCGTGAGATCACAGTATATTACAACGAGATGGTGACCCTTTGGCTGGAACTGGATCAATACTATGATGATGAGTGGGAGAATCTGAATGATTGTGCAAGGTATATGAAACGTGAAGAGAATGATCGTGTCTATATGTTTCTTGCAGGAGTTAATAGAAGCCTAGATGAGGTAAAGGGAAGGATTCTTGGCCAAAAACCCATGCCCTCTATTCGTGAGGTTTTTTCAGAATTACGACAAGAAGAAAATAGGAGGAGAATCATGCTAAACAGTGCAGCACCAGCACCCGAACCTGAGAATTCTACACTAGTCTCTCGTAATTCAGGAGGATCTGATATGGAAGGAGAAAGGAAAAAGTGACCATGGTGTGATCATTGTAGAAAACCATGGCACACTAAGGAGACATGTTGAAAAATTCATGGGAAACCAGCGCATTTGAAGAAAAAACAGGAGGGCAATGGCAGGGCTCTTCAAACCACCATTGACAATTCTCAAGAGCAATCAATCAACTCGGAGGTGCATCCTTTCACAAAGGAACAGTTAGCATCTATACAAACTCTTTAAATCTCCACAATTCTCTGTCACTCCTTCATGTTCCCTTGCAACCCAAGGTAATTCTTATGTCATTGCCCTCTCTAGTTTCGGTCTTTCTTCTAGCCCTTGGATTATAGATTCCGGAGCAACTAATCACATGACAAATTGCTCACATCTCTTCTCATCTTATAGTCCGAGTGCAGGAAAATAAAAATTAAGATTGCTGATGGATCTTTTTCGGCAATAGCCGGGATTGGTTGAATCAAAGTTTCCCCCCTTATAACTCTTAATAATGTGCTTCATGTTCCAAAATTGTCATGTAACCTCCTATCTATCAGTAAAATAACCCAAGAACTTAATTGTCAAGCTAATTTCTATCCAACTCATTGTGAGTTTTAGGAACTGGCCTCGGAGGATGATTGGTAGTGCTAGGGAAAATGGAGGACTCTATTTTTTTAAAGATGGAACAATCCCAAGTAAACCAGTCTGAAGTTTATGTTTTGACTCTATGTCTACTTCTAGTAATCATGAAATTATGCTATGGCACTATAGACTTGGCCATCCAAGTTTTCATTATTTGAAACATTTCTTTTCATCTTTGTTTATTAATAAGAATCTATCTTCATTTCAGTGTGAGATTTGTATGTTTGCAAAACAACACCGATCCCCCTACCCTCCACGACTATACAAGCCCACTAAACCTTTTTTCTTAATCCACAGTGATCACTTGGGGTCCTTTAAGAACTCCAACACTTTTCGAAAAAAAATAGTTTGTCACATTTATAGAAGATGATCACACTAGAGTAAGTTGGGTCTACTTGTTAAAAGAAAAAACAGAGGTTAGAAGGAGTTTTAAAAAACTTTTACACCATGGTACAAACTCAATTTGATGAGAAACTTCAAATTTTTCGAAGTGATAATGGAAAGGAGTTTTTTAATAATATTTTGGGGAATTTTTTTTATTGAAAAGGGTATTATTCATCAAAGTTCATGCAATGACACCCCTCAACAAAATAAAATAGCTGAGAGAAAAAATAAACATCTTCTAGAAGTATCAAGAGCCTTGCTTTTCACAAATAATGTTCCAAAATACCTTTGGGGTGATGCAATTCTCACAGCAACCTATCTCATTAATCGAATGCCCTAAAAAACTCTAGATTTTCAAACTCCTTTGCAAGTTTTCTCACAAAATTTTCCATCCTCTAGGATCTTATCCGAATTACCAATTAAAGTATTTGGGTGTACTGTCTTTGTTCACAATCATGATCAAAACCGGAGTAAGTTAGATCCTAGGGCTAGAAAATGCGTTTTTGTAGGATATGCACCAACAAAAACGGGCTACAAATGCTATGATCCTATTTTTAAAAAAATGTTTGTATCTATGGATGTATCTTTCTTTGAAACAAAACCTTTTTTTAAGTCTCCTCTTCAGGGGGAGAGAAACAGTGAAGATCCGACTTGGGATAAAATAGAAAATTTGGTGACTGAAGATTTTTTTCAGATTCAACACAAGTTAATGTCCGAATCTAGTTCTAAACAGTCACTAACAAACTCAGTTTTGACTCAAAATGAACAAGACCAAAGTGAAAACACAAATGTTATGGTATGAAAGATTGACAAATTTTTTAATTGAAAAGTGTTACAAGAAAGGGGAAGTAGATAAAACTTTGTTCATTAAACAATTTAAAACTGGCATGATCATTGCACAAATTTATGTTGATGACATTGTTTTTGGATCTATTTCACAGGTCAAGATTGATGAGTTTGTTAATCAAATGAAGAAAGAATTTGAGATGAGTATGGTTGGGGAACTAACTTATTTTTTAGGACTGCAGGTTAAACAAGAGCATGATGAGATTTTTATCTCACATCAAAATATGCAAACAATCTAGTAAAGAGATTCGGACTTGGCAGAACCAAAGATATGAGAACTCCAATGGGTTCCTCTGTTAAATTGATCAAGGATGAAGGAGGAGTTTCAATTGATCCAAGTCTCTATAAGAGCATGATCGGTAGTCTACTTTATCTCACAGCTAGTAGACCTGATATTTGTTTCAGTGTTGGTGCTTGTGCTAGGTACTAGGCAGATCTAAAGGAATTTCATTTGGCAGCAGTGAAAATGATCATTCGTTATGTGAAAGGAACGGCAAATTACGGCATTTGGTATTCAAAGGACACAAATTCTAATCTTGCAGGGTATAGCGATGCAGATTGGGCTGGAAATGCAGATGATAGAAAAAGTACAACTGGCAGATGTTTCCTTTTAGGAAACAACATGGTCTCATGGTACAACAAGAAACAGAATTCAATCTTTCTATCCACGGCAGAGGCAGAATACATAGCAGCAGGGAGTTGTTGTACACAATTGTTATGGATGAAATAAATGCTCAAAGATTATGGTATTTTACAGGATACTTTAACTGTTTATTGTGACAACACGAGTGCAATAAACATTTCAAAGAATCTTGTACAGCACTCTAGAACTAAACATATTGATATTTGATATCATTTTATTTGAGATTTGGTTGACAATAAAATAATTGTTCTTGACTATGTTGCAACAGAGAAACAACTGGCTGACATTTTTACCAAGGCACTTGATGCAATAAAATATGAGCCTATGAGAAAAGCTCTAGGTATATGTGTTATGTGAGTATAATTCATGATCTGTTATATTCAGTTTGATAATTTGGAAGTTGATTTTCTCAATATTTTGACATTCTTATGTGAACCAATCTCTCTTCTGCACGATTTCACAGCAATTTATTTAGAACATTGCATTTTAAGCATAATAATTAATGGATATTGAATTCTTGTGACTTGAGATTAATCTCCATTCTTGGATTCTAATCATCTTGTTTTTAGAAAGAAGATATGCAGGTAATTTCTTTAAACAAAAGGAAAAAAAAAAACGAGAAAAGCTACTTACATCTTGTGTGAAGCTATCCTTGAGTAACCTGGGCCTATGTATCACCAATACGTAGAGGATGATCTACCATGAGAAAATAGCTGCCTTGGTGCTATAGTGAAAGGCCCCAAATAATAAAAAAAAAAACTTGCGGATGATTAGATGAACAGGTAAATTTGAACAGGTTATGTCATGTCCATATATTAGAATGCTAAGATTGAAAAGGTTCAAAGAGGAAATTTTGTGAAATTTTTATACACATACAGTTGGTTCATATATAAATTTTAA